CCCCGCCCCAACTCCACCTTCGGGGTGTGTGGGCCTCACCGCGTACGGCCCATTGCCAGGGCAACCGACGCCGCGAGAGATGCATTGTGGTCTGCAACAAAATGCAGGAGAAAGATCCTGAGGGAACCATTGAGCCTATGGACCAATGGGAGAGTCCTGGGGGCTGCGTCAAGCCAATGGGGACGTTCCTCGGGGGCGGGGCCGGCGGGAGCAGGGCGGGGCCTAGGCACTAGGCGGCGGCGGCTGGCGTGGGGCTCCTTAGATGCGCCACGGCTTCTGTAGCGACGGTAGCTCCTGCTGGGTCTGAGTGTCGCCAGCCCCTCCCCCAGGAGACCGTTGCAGTTGGCCGTCCCCTGCTCCTCGGTGAGAGACTCGGGGGCTGCGGGGGGCTTCGCTGCTTGGTTACATCTCCCGCCGGACTTCTCCCGCTGTTCGGTCCGCGCGGCCCGCGCTTTCTGAGAAGTGGGGTGGGGGGCGGGAGGAGCGGGCTGGGGGAGCTGGCGCCTCGCAGGCGCAGCCTACACCCCAACTCCTCACCCCTTGCCCGGGCCTCGCCCCCCAGGTAACCATGTGCGACCGAAAGGCCGTGATCAAAAACGCCGATATGTCGGAGGAGATGCAACAGGACTCGGTGGAGTGTGCGACTCAGGCGTTGGAGAAATACAACATAGAGAAGGACATTGCGGCCCATATTAAAAAGGTGAGGACGGGGCGCGCGGACGGGGGGGGCTCGGGCCGTTTGCGCGCAGCTGGGGCGAGTCACAACTTAGTCCTTCTTCCCGATCCTGCGTCCCCAGAGCGCTTGGCAGACATCCCTGGAGGCACGCAGGGCAGCTCGGGTGTAGAGGTTTCCAGAAAGGACGCAGATGAATTTTGCGCTCCTGATGAGAAGACCAGACCCTCCGCGCCCGAAGTTTTTTTATTACCCAGCTCCGCAGGGGGAAAGCGCCACCTAGCAACGGTTTCTAGGATCAGGGAGCATTGGTTCCCCCTCTTCTGCATGATTCCTGCGCGGAGGATCCATCTGGGTGTTCCGGAGGGGGGGGAGCTGCGTGGGTGTTTCCAGCCGGGCCGGAGGGAGATCTTGCCAGCCTTTCGGTGGGGAGTTAGTCGGCAGTTGAGGGAAAGTGGGTGGTAGTGGTGGTTAGGGGGCTGGGGTGAGGGCTTGGTAAATGGCAGTCTGTAGAAAGCTGGCAGGACTGCCAATTTCTCCGAGCTGTGTTTTCTGGAAGGGAAGGGAACTGGCAGCTTAAGCCGTGGGAGGGTTCCTAGTTGAGAATGGGAAGATGAAAGACTGCAGATGGAACAGAAATACCTTTTTTGACAAACGCAGCAGTGGGTTCCTCTAACTTTTAAGAATGTTATTCCAGTAGATGTAAAAGATGTTCATGCTGCATACAGCGTGAGAGCCGAATTTTGTGTAACTCCTCACAGAGACTTGTAAGAATTACATAGAGAAAGACTGGCTTTGGCGCCTGCCCTACAGTCACCTAGTGAAGAAATTACCACAGGCGTTCTTGTTCTCAGAGCCCCTTTTTCTGAGGAAAATAGGGAAAGTTGTTCCTGCAGTTTGCTATCTTTGTGTACTAGGTGGTATATTAGCACCATCAGGATAGATGTGGAAGAGAGGGCTATTGAAATTAAGGATAAAATCTGACAGGTGACTATCAGATTCTGCTTCTAGCATTCTTTTTGTGGGTGGAACAGTGGATTGCAGAGTATCTGGTGCCCTTTAAATTTTGATCCACAGTGGTTTAAATGCGAATTGAGGCTTTGCCCTTCGGACATCTTTTGTTTTCATTGATACTGGAGTGCAGTTAAGGAATGGGGTATTTGGGGCTAAATATTTACCATTTTGGATTTTGTGGTGCATGACCTACAGGAGGATAATTTCGTTTGTTCTGTTCACACATAACGTGATAAACGAGAACTGTTATCACCTGCTGTCAATTAACGAGAATATCATAGGAGCTATGAAGGCGAAATTACCATGATAACAAAGTGCCCTGTCTGTGAGGCTGCCCTTACTGCCTTTTACCTCCCCAGCCCCCATTCTCAGCTTAGCTCAGACTGCAAGTATGTATGCATTAATGCACTATGTAGGCGACTTGGAGCTGGGGAACATTCTTTCATGCTAAGAATTTGCAGATGCTAACGTTCCTTCTTTCTGCCCCTACAGGCTCTGCTTATCTGGGAGGCAAACTCTGACCTCTGGTTTAGCACTGAAATTCTAGTGTTCTTTTTCTTTCCCCCTCTCCCCCCACCAGGAGTTTGATAAGAAGTACAACCCCACCTGGCACTGCATCGTGGGGAGGAACTTCGGTAGTTACGTGACACATGAAACCAAACACTTCATCTACTTCTACCTGGGCCAAGTGGCCATTCTTCTGTTCAAATCTGGTTAAAAGCATGGACTGTGTCACACACCCAGTGATCCATCCAAAACCAAGGACTGCAGCCTAAATTCCAAATACCAGAGACTGAAATCTTCAGCCTTGCCTAGGGGAACACCTCGATCTTTGAACCTTTATTGTGTTGTTTTGTACAGGGCATTCTCTGTACAAATTTGTTGTGGTTATAAAACAATTAGCAAAACAGCTTACATTTGTATTTATTTTCTATTCCATACCTCTACCCCATGTTTTTTCTCCTCAAAATCCATTCCTTTCAAAATAAATCTGTTGGAGAAGTGTGTGTTAGTTACGATTTGTTCAAATCTAGGGTTGAAAATGGCTTATCACTTAATCTTGAGTAGGTTAGTGGGGGTCAGTCCTTGAAGTGAGTTTCTGTGGGATGTAATAGACTAGCCTATTCATAGTGCTCATCTTGAGTCTTTAGTTTGCCCCATCCTGCAGCTGTCGTGCATGGAAGAATACTGCTCAGAAGTGCATGTTGAGAAACCCATGGCACAGAAACTTTTGGGTTAAATCTCATTACTAATCTGATAAATACTATCCTTAAGTGCTCATTTTGTTAAAAGGGTGTTCTGGACTTTGGGCCTCAGGTGGTGGTGATGACTGTGTAGAACTTTATCGAAGTTGTTTTGTTTTTTGTTTTTTTTGTCTGTAAAATAAGCCAATAACAGAGTTGAGCTAATGAGAAATTTGCTGGGCTCTAGGCTGTCTGCCCCCCCACCCCCTTTTCCTGCCCTGTCCCAAAAGGACACTCAGATTAAAAGGGGTCTTAAAAGGGAAAATGAACGTTTTTGAGCAGCAGCCCTCCATGTGATTCCAATAAAGTCTCTGCAGGAATTTAAATGTGTAAGCCTGCTGTGCTGTGCTTTAACTAGCTATACTTAGAAACCCTGTTACAATTAAATGTGAATTGAAGCTTTCATTAAAAGGCCCAATTAAGGCTGTGGATAAGTAACCTTCATTAAAGGTTTCCTGCTATCAATTTTAAGAAGATTTAAGTCTTTTCTAGGAAGAAAATCAAATATAGCAGACTTGGCTTTTGTAGGCATAAAGGAAATATGCCAGAGGCTGAAACAACCCACGCTCCTCTTGGGAAGTTGCGAGAGTCCTGGCTTTCTAGTCTCCCTATGTTTTCAGTGTTCACACGAGGTAACACTTTTTGTTTTAAACTTTGGGTCTGTGAGATGCAATTAGGATTTCTGAGCAGCCAGGCTACTGCGACACAGGAGAGGATAGAGTTGAAATGACTCCATCTTAAGGACAGCATTAGGGGGGCGCCTGGGTGGCTCAGTTGTTGGGCATCTGCCTTTGGCTCAGGTCATGGTCCCAGGGTCCTGGGATCGAAGATCCGAGCCCTGCATCGGGCTCCCTGCTCAGCACGAAGCCTGCTTCTCCCTCTCCCACTGCCCCTGCTTGTGTTCCCTCTCTCGCTGTGTCTCTGTCAAATAAAATCTTCAAAAAAAAAAAAAACAGCATTAGGTTGTAACATCTTTGGGAGATTATTACTACTAGAACTTGGGGTTTTAAGAATTGTAGTGAAGTTGAGCTAGGTTAGGACTGGGAACGTTTCAGGGTAGAGAGGCAAAAAATTGTCTTCCTGTTTATTGTGGCAGTTAAAATGGGAGAAAAATTTTCCCCCTGCTTTTTGCAGGAAAGAAGGATGAGGTTCTGTGGAACAGGAGTGTAACTGAGGTGATTTAGGTTTGTATTTATATGGACATACTGAAGATGTTCCATAATTCATCTTTTTTCTAGCTCCTTTCCCTCTTTAGTGACCTATGTTTCTATTCGAAGCCCCCAAAGCTGTATCGTTCTTGGTCAGTTAGCCCTACTTCCAAATAGTCTTCTGGCAATAGACCCTAGAGTTGATTTAAGTCCACAAATGGCTGGACATTGGGGGTTTTAATTTATCAGGCCCATATCTACTGCCTGGAAGTGGCAAGTTTTAACTTTTATTTTTTGATTCAGATGCGAAAAAACCACTTCGCCGGGGAGATAGGATTGGGTTGATGGTTTATCAAATTCCTTCAGCGTCTGCTCCTTGTTAATTCTAATTTCAAAGGCCAACAGGCTCCAGCTGGCTGAAAAAGTAAGCTAAAAGTTTTTTTAATGTTTAGCACTTTGTCGGATGCTCTTTGCTGTTCTTTGAGATGGCTGTGTATAGATAGCTGTGTGTGAAAGCTTTTTAATGATAGGGCAAAGCAAGATCTTGTGCGGGAAGGTACAGAAATGACTCCTACTGTGCTGGGCCTAGAGTCAGCATATCTAAAGGCTTTTGAAATAGCCTTGAACTAAGTTATCCACAATTAACAAATGGCCAGCCAAGTCATAGTTTGCTTTCTGCAATGTCTTAGCAAAGCCCCTTAAAAACCATAAGCTTAATCCACATTCAAAATATTTTTGGCCTCATTTTAACATCAAACATTGGACTGTATTAAGGAGACAAGAGCTCTCTGCCCAGCTCTGCCCCTTAGTACCGAAGGGGGTTAGGCTAGATCGTTTTCAAACTTTTTTTTTTCTTTTTTGGCTATAAAACCCTTCAAATGTATTCTGATAAAGAAGCTCTCCACATAAAACACAAAAGCAGAAGTTTTCTGGAACATTTATTCTTTCATCAAGGGTTTGTTTTTTTCATGACAGGCATTGAGGATCCAATAGTAGTTTTTGGTAGAAGAGGACTGAGTGATGACAAAAATGTATTTCCTCACTCCCCCACCCAAGAAGAAATAACAAATACCACACAAATTGTAAACTCATTTAGTGATGCAGTTCATAATTCTAGTTGTGATTGTTAGCACTCTGACTTGGGCCTTGGTTTTTGGCCCCAGACTTAGTCCTAGGCTGAGAGATTGACTCAGGTACAGCTAGGACGTTTTCTGGTTCAAATCATCATTGGGTTCAAATGAGTCGTCATCCCTGTGGAAGGCAGCACCAGCAGAGAAGCTACAAATGCACTTCAAAAATGAGAAGTAGTGCTGGTTTTACCTTAACCACACACTGCACAGCCAAGAAAAATTAGCAGGAGTTGAGCAAAAAATACAGAGCAAGTATCTCTGGGAGAAGCCCTGAAGCAGCTCGTAGTGAAAGCCGCAGTAGGGTGACAGGGATCTGTTTCTAACACTTTGAGACTGGTCACGTCAGAACAGGAGTCCAAGGCACATGACCTTAAGAGGAGATGTTCTGCTGCCGGTCTCATTAGCAAGATTCTCCTTCAGTTTCAGGCTTTCGACAGGGTGTGACTGGTTCACACTCCAGAATGGTAAAGGAATTACAGTTTGAAGCCAGAATGAATAGCCACGATGCCTGATGTGAGACTTTCATAAGTCACCTTCTCAAAACCTGCATCTTCTATCATCTCTTTGAACTCCTCCTAAAACACAAAGATACAGCAAGGATCACCTGGATTTAAACTCTAGGGCCTTTGTTGTAAAATATCAAAGTTTTGTACCTGAGATGGGAACTGTCGGATACTTTCTACAAGATACTGGTAGGACCTCCAATCTCCTGCGATGACCTCTCCCAGGACAGGAATGACCTGGAAGCTATATAGATCATAAAGCCTAAACACAAAGGCAAAAGATTAAGATTAGAACATGCCCTCTGATCAGAAGCAAGAAGGTTTAAGCGTGGAGTTATAAATTCAAATGCCTATAGGGGTCAAGTCCCTGAAAGTAATGTGGGCCAGGTGTAAGACCAGTAGGGACTAGTGAGGATGTGGTGACAGGTGCAATTAGGAAGTAGCATACAAGTGGAGAAGGGGCAGGTACTACTCAGCTCTGACTACTGCCATGTGGGAGTAAGTGCTCAGTGCTGCCCTATATGGTTCCTCAAGTGAAGCTGGAAACTCGATTTTTATGTGAAACTTCCTGATTTTTAAATACGAACATCTAAGTCAATTTCTTAAAATACGATGAATCAAACAAAATATATCTGTGGGCCAACCTGAGCCTCTGGTTGCTGGTTTGAAACTCTTCTGGCTTAGGTGTTGTCATTCAGAACTGGCTGACTTTGAGGTGGCACTGACTCTTAGAGACTCTGAACTATGAGGTTCATGCTTATCGCTTACTGGCTGTTTTATGTCCATTTTGGGATGGGGAACCGTTGGCTAGCCAATGAGAATAAAGCCCTGTTAACAGTGCCAACCTGGATATGAGGGGATTGTTCACTTGACTAAACTCCAGGCAGAGAAACCGTCCTCCTGGTTTCAGGACTCGATGGGCTTCCTGGAGTGCCTGAGCAAGACAAGGAACAAGAGAACACACTCCTCAGCAGAACTCACTCAATTCCATGAGGCCGCAACAGCTTTAACTTTGATGGGCATTATAAAAGTTAGCATTTCCCATAGATCCCTTGGCATTCTCAGTTGGAAAGCTGTAGCAGCAGAGATAACCCTACAATATCCTAAATTTTATAGGCATTCTGCTGCCCATGAAGAGAAGGTCACTTGGAGTACTCAGATTGGTACAATCACATGGCGGCCAATTTCACAATTGTCTATTGATTATTTATTTATTAAAAGCTCATCTTGGGGTTTTCTTTTTTTCTTTCTTTTTTTTTTTAAGTAAACTCTTTGCTCAACATGGGGTTTGAACTTAAAACCCCAAGATCACCCTTTACCAACAAAGCCAGCCAGGTGCCCCTACAATTACTTATTTAAATCACAATGGATATCCTCTTTGATCTAGGAATTTTACTTCAAGGAACCTATCTTATAGAAATGCATCTGTTGTAGGGGCACCTGGCTGGCTCAGTCAGTTAAGCATCTGACAGTTTTGGCTCAGGTCAAGATCTCAGGGTCATGAGATCGGTCTCCATGCTGGGCATGGAACCTGCTTAAGATTCTCCCTCTCCCTGTCCCTCTGCTCCTCCCCACCCTCCAAAAAAAAAAAAAAAAAGCATCTATTGTAGAGATGATATGCATATAGGTTATTCCCTGCAGCACTGTTTGAACAGCACACGATTAGAAGCATCTTAACTATTAATGAGATACTGGTTAAATTATGGAATGTCCAGGGGCGCCTGGGTGGCTCAGTCGTTAAGCATATGCCTTTGGCTCAGGTCATGATCCCAAGAGGTCCTGGGATCAAGCCCCGCATCAGGCTCCCTGCTCCGCGGGAAGCCTGCTTCTCCCCCTGCTTATGTTCCCTCTCGCGCTGTGTCCCTCTCTGTCAGATAAATAAAATCTTTAAAAAAAAATAATGAAATGTCTATATAAATGGAATCTACACAGCTATTTAAAAAAAGGAAGAGCCAGGGCTCTTTATGCACTGACATGGAAAAATCTCCCAAGATATATTTTTAAGGGAAAGAAAGCAATGGGCAAAATTTCATATGCTAATATTTGTATAAAAAAAAGAAAAAGCAAAATGTTTAATATTCACCAAACATCTCTGCAAAGGTACACAAGAAATTGGTAATTGGAGGGAGGGAGAGGAGGCACTGAATGGTTGGGACACAGGGGTGGGAGGCATACTTTCATTGACATGCTCTTTTGTACTTTGAACCTACTCAAAAAAATTTTTTTAATTAGAAGAACTAATAAACTGACTGCATACAAGGGGCAGGTCATAAAAATCAAGCTGAAGTGCACCATAAAGATGTCTCACTTCATCTGGAGCCCCCCATTACAAAAACAAAATGTGGTGCCTTGCACATTGTCTTCAAATGCTTTGGGATAGAATATTGAAGTAGAAATGAAGAAGAGCTGCATTAGGGGGTGCCTGGCTAGATTAGTCGGTAGAGACTTTTGATCTCAGAGCTGGGAGTTGGAGCCCCACGCTGGGTGCAGAGATTACTTAAAGATAAAATCTAAAAAAAAAAAAAAAAGATTAAGAGCTAAATGTTCCCTTCTCCCTATAAAGGAACCCATGACTCTAGGTACCTTCTGCCAAAATAAGTGTTTGAGTGCCTTCTGTGTTGGCTTTGGAAACGCCTCTGATCTGCAAACTCAGGCTCAGACAACTTCACAAGTGAGCAGAAACAGATGGAATGCCAGAGCATGACTGACAGCTCAAAGATGTGAATACCAACCCAGGCAACAAAGGCTTCTATGGGGATCTGCTCTGTGGTTTGGGTCTTATTCAATTTTGTGACTAGGAAATTGGCAACTTCAAGGACTGAAACCCCTAAGCCGGAAATAGTCATTCCATTCAAGAGCTGGGCGGAGAGAAGAATCCCTCCCTCTTTCCTCATTTTCTGTGGGGCCACTGCAGGAGATCTAACAGCACAAGAGTCACACAGGCTAAAGACGCAGCCATATATACCACCTGATCAATGTGTGTGACATTCCGGATCCCAAAGGCAATAGTGTAAACGTCAAACTTGTCATCATCAAAGGGCAGTTCTTCAGCATCTCCCAATACCCAAGCAAGTCCTGAAAGAGAAAATCATTTCTGGTCTCAGTCTGGGTCGCTGTCTCTTATGTACCTGGTGAACTGTCAAACCTGAGGAGGGCATTGTGGGAATCCCCCAATTTGCAGTTAGCCAGGCAGAAGTGTGGGCAGCCCGCACACCCCACTGATGGCTGACTTCTGAAGTGGGGGCAGTCTGCGGAATCTGAGACTAACTCTGCGAGTCAGTGTCAGAATTGAGCTGAATTATTGCACACCTAGTTGGTGTGGGAGAATTGGAGAACAGTTTGGTGCTGGGGAAAACCATACGTGTGGTATCAGAAACCATCACACATCTGCCTTCATCACTGGGTTCCTGGCCGCTGTCTTCAAGGTGTCACCTCAGCCTGAGAATCTGAATTTCTTCAAGTTTATCAGGAAGTTCTTTCCCCATGGGTCTCAGAGAAGAACCTGATGAATACTTAGTTATGCCCACCCTCAAGCAATTTTTACCCAACTAAGTGTTTTGTGTAAAGTACCACGGTTAAGATCCCAGGTCTGGGGTTTAGACTGCCAGGATTTTAATTCCAGCTTTATTCACCATTTATTAGCTGTATAAGCTTGAATAAACTACTTTGCCTTGGTTTCCTCATCTGTAAGATGGAGTTAATAATAGTACCAACTTCGGAGGATCATTGGCAGTATTCTAAGTATGGAATTTAGCCTAGTTATACTGGTTCTATTAGAGAATCAAAGTGTCTAGACCCTAAATCTGGTCACAAATTCAGAAAACACCCAGGGAACCCCATAACAGGGTAGCTATGTCCACTAAAGGATCCTGATTCAGCTTTAACATTATTCAACTTGCAGCAAATTAGACATAAAATGCAATATAGAAGGAAGGCTCTATAGAGGAAAGTAAATGAAAACCTTCCTGGAAAGCAAAGTAGCAGTATTTAACAAAACCCTTAAAAATAACGATACCCTGGGGTGCCTGGGTGGCTCAGCAGTCGGTTAAGCAGTGGACTCTTAGTTTCGGCTCAGGTCGTGATCTGGAGATGATGGAGGTCTGGAGATCTAGCCCTGTGTGGGGCTCTGTGCTCAGCAGGGTGTCTGCTTCCCCTCTCCCTTTCCCTTTGCCCCTCCCCCAGCTCACACACACTCTCTCTCTCAAATAAATAAATGAATCTTTCTTTTTTTTTAAAGATTTTATTTATTTATTTGAGAGAGAGAATGAGACAGAGACATGAGAGGGGGGAGGGTCAGAGAGAGAGGCAGACTCCCTGCTGAGCAGGGAGCCCGACGTGGGACTCGATCCAGGGACTCCAGGATCATGACCTGAGCCGAAGGCAGTCGCTTAACCAACTGAGCCACCCAGGCGCCCAATAAAAGAATCTTTCAAAAAAAAAAAGAAAAACCATATCCTTTGAACCAGCTATTTGATTTTTAGGAGGATGACATTGATGACATCATCATCATGATAGCAACTGCTCTGAGCCCTTGATGGCAGGGTCTACATTATCACCTTACACACATTATCTTATCACATTCCCATATTAACTCCATGGGATAGCTCTTACTATCCTCCTCATGTTTTAGGTGAGCCAAGTTGAGTATCAGGAAGATGAAAGCAGCTTGCCCAAGATCACCCCGATGGATTGGAACTCAGGTTGTTTTATCCCAGGGCCTGTGTTTTCTTTTTTTTATTTATTTTTAATTTTTTTTTAAGATTTTATTTATTTGACAGAGAGACAGCAAGAGAGGGAACACAAGCAGAGGGAGTAGGAGAGGGAGAAGCAGGCTTCGTGCTGAGCAGGGAGCCCGATGCGGGGCTTGATCCCAGGACCCTGGGACCATGACCTGGGCCGAATGCAAACGCTTAACCACTGAGCCACCCAGGCGCCCCAGGGCCTGTGTTCTCAATAGCTATGGTATATTACCTCCTACTACAAGGTGGTTTTTATTCTACCATTTTATAGATAAGGTAATTGAGATCTGAAGAGTTTAAACACTTGTCCAAGGTTATATAGAAGGTAAAAATTAACAAATGCATGCAAAAATTTACAAATAAGGATGTCACAATGCTGTGCTCTGTGCAAAAGCTTTAGAAAAAAGTGAAAGATCAATTGGTTGCTGGTTATGTAAATTGGTGATGTGAATCTTCGTGATTCACATCCATACAGGAGAATATCATAAATAATGATTTTAAGGAATTTTTAATGACATGGACATCTCATGATACAATGCTGAGTTAGGGCAGGATACTAAATTGTATATACAGAAAGTCTTCAATTTTATAAAAAGGAAATGATTAGGAAAAGCTAGGAAGGAAATACATTAAAATACTGGGAGCATCTCTTGATGTTGGAATCATAGGTAACATTTACTTTCTTCTTAATACTTTTGCAAAATCCAAAATTCTCTCAAATATATCACTTTTATAACCTATCAAATACTTTTTAAAAAATATTTTATTATTTAATTAACAGAGAGAGAGAGAGACAGGGAGAGAGGGAACATAAGCAGGGGGAGTAGGAGAGGGAGAAGCAGGCCTCCTGCCGAGCAGGGAGCCCAATGCAGGGCTGAATCCCAGGACCCCAGGATCATGACCTGAGCCAAAGGTAGACGCTTAACCAACTGAGACCAGGCGCCCCTCAAATAATTTTTTTTTTTTTAAAGATTTTATTTATTTATTTGACAGAGAGAGACACAGCGAGAGAGGGAACACAAGCAGGGGGAGTGGGAGAGGGAGAAGCAGGCTCACTGCAGAGCAGGGAGCCCGATGTGGGACTCGATCCCAGGACACTGGGATCATGACCTGAGCTAAAGGCAGTCGCTTAACCAACTGAGCCACCCAGGTGCCCTCAAATAATTTTTTTAAAGCTCCTGCCCTCAAGGGGTGCCTGGGTGGCTCAGTCATTAAGCTTCTGCCTTCGGCTCAGGTCATGATCCCAGATCGAGCCTCGAGTCGGGCTCTCTGCTCGGCGGGAAGCCTGCCTCTCCGTCTCCCTCTCCCACTCACCCTGCTGTGTTCCTGCTCTCGCTAACTCTCTCTGTCAAATAAATAAATAAAATCTTAAAAAAAAAAAAAGCTCCTGCCCTCAGAACTTCCATTTGGGGAGGAAGTGCTCCATCCACATAAGATGTAAATAAAACACACAAGAGTGCTATACATAAATATACCTTTCTCATTAACTTACTATTACAAAATAATTTCTAGGATCCTCCCTAGTTTCAACTCTTTTCGTGTGATATTTTTTACAAAGACATCATTGTTGGACATTGAGGAAGCAAGGAGGAAAGATAAGGAAAACTGGCCTATGCAGCACTTAATAATTCATATGCCAGTGCATTTGTCTTGGCAGTGAGGAGAGGCTGAAGGACAAGCTATGCTATGGAAGGGATGATTCCAGAAATGGAGCATTCCCTATCATTTCTATCCTTGTTCTCCATTCCTTATGGTTGAGCACCAGAGAGAAGGGAAACAAGTTTTTCAGTAGGAGTAAGGAAACATAGTGCCTTTGTCTAAAAACACTAAGGACTGTCTGCTTTCTGATCAGCACTGAGGGTTAACAAAAGAGCCCTTCATCTTGGAGGCCAAGTGGGCTGTGGTCCGTCTAGGCAGCTCGTTCTGGGGGTGGGGGGTGGAGGAGGAAGAATTGAACTAAAATAACCATAGTCACTCCTGGGGGGAGGGGGAGCACAGGACCGCTGAGGTTGACCCAAGGACCTTTATTTTCTTTGTCCCAGACCACTGCCTCACAGTAGCTGCCTGCAGGGCTTGGTCAGCTGGGGAGAGGCCAGGGCAGTGGCTCCAGAGAGCCTGCCAAACCCTTACTTCTACTTGATAAAGTTGGGGGAAGTATTTTAAGAGATGAAAACAAACAGCAAAATGTGAAATCTACTTCTTTAAGCTTGGGCACAAATTGTCCATTTTCAGGTTGCAGTGGGTTCCCCGAGACGTGTAGTCACTCTATCTGCTGCTGACAGGAGCACTGTTTCAGGGGTTTCTTTAATTCTATCAGCTGGGGCCTCAGAGGAACAGATGCCCAGACGAGGGAGGAGTGCAAAAGGGGTCTTCTTTGCGGGGAGAACATCTGGGGTTGGATAAAAGGAAGAGGAAGCAAGACTGAGTGGGGAAAGCCTGTAGACCTCGATGCAGATCCGATAAAGCCTTAGCCAGCCCAACAGGGAGCTCTGGAGCACGGCCAGCAAAGAGCCCAACCTGGAGGTGGAGGCAGAGCCCGAAGGATAGAAGAGCTTGTGTCCGAAGCACAAGTTCCTGCGTTAAGGTCAGAGCACCTTCCCAGCTTCCACATGCGTCAAACCCTCTGAGTACTGACGGGGACTGGGATGGCTCCAAAACAGGACATTGGGGTCAGCAGGGAGTTGCTGGGAATTGAAAGCAAAACTTCCGTCTCAGAGTCCAAGAGCTAAGATCCCAAGACTCAGCTCCGATTTGGGATCTGCCATTTAAAAGTTGTGTTACTTGAGCAGAGGCACTTTACTCAAGCAGCTCTTTGGGCTTTGGTTATCAGCTCCATCACATGGGGCTGGTCATCACACTAACTCCCTGGGTTGCCGAAATAATGTACATAACAGCACATGAACTGGATTCAGGCACACAAATTATCTTCGACTCCTGCCTATCTATGTTTTTGAAAATAAAGCACTTCAACCTTTTATATATCCCATCTTACTTCATAAACACACAAACATTTCCACTGTGTCTACTTCCCATAGGATTTACCAGCTTTGTGTCCTTGAGCACGGGCTTTCTGCTTTCCAATCTTTAGCATCTCCTTGTTGATGTCACAGACCACAACCCGGGAACCGCCCAAAGGATCATCTTCACTTTGGTACTTTTTGGCAATTTCTTCCCAGGATAAATTTTGCTGGGCCCGTAACTGCCTCTTCTGCTTTCCCTTATGCTGTGCCTGGACATAATTAAGGAACCGGAATGCAATGTCACCTGTGGGAAGCCAACAGGAGGAAAGATGCAAACATAAACACACGCAAAAATCCAACACTTCCAAAACCAAACAGAGCAACAAAGGTACAAGATTTGAGGAATATCCAAAAATTGAAGTGTCTCTTCATTTCTATGGTAACTTAAAAAAAAAATTGGGGTGCCTGGGTGGCTCAGTCAGTTAAGTGTCTGCCTCCGGCTCAGGTCATGATCTCTGGGTCCTGGGATGGAGTCCCGCGTTGGGCTCCTTGTTCAACAGGGAGCCTGCTTCTCCCTCTGCTTGCTGCTTCCCCCTGCTTGTGCTCTCTCTAACAAATAAATAAAATCTTTAAAAAAAACCACATTTTTTTAACTTCTAATATTCTTTTTTTTTTTAAGATTTTTATTTTTTTTAAAGATTTTGTTTATTTGACAGAGAGACACAGCGAGAGAGGGAACACAAGCAGGGGGAGTGGGAGAGGGAGAAGCAGGCTTCCCGCTGAGCAGGGAGCCTGACGTGGGGCTCGATCCAGGACCCTGGGATCATGACCTGAGCCGAAGGCAGACGCTTAATGACTGAGCCACCCAGGTGCCCCAAGATTTTATTTTTAAGTAATCTCTCTACCCAACATGGGGCGCAAACTCACGACCTCAAGATCAAGAGTCCCATGTTCTACTGACTGTGCCAGCCGGGCGCCCCGTTAACTTCTAATATTCTTAAAAACCTTTAAAAAATTGCGTAAGTAATGCATGGACACATTCTCGCTATAAAAGACTCACCCAAATTTATGATGATGTCTCGCCCCTCATCTCTGCTTGCCTCTATCTTCCCAATATATTTAGATCACATTTCATAGTCCCTCATAGATTCTTTTGTAAACTAGAGTAACAGACTAATATTTTATTTCTATTTCATCAATAGATGAAATAGATTACAGATGGTACCTCTTGACTCCTTTCAATCTTCTACTGTGGGCACTTTTACACTGTCAAGACTGATAACATACTGTTTGTTCAGTAGCTATAATTTTGTCTTCTGTGCTTTGCTGGAGTCTACAAGCTGAAAAGTGTTTATGCTATTGTGACCAGGTAAATACTGTTTGGGCCAAGACAGTGCTTTCTAGGATCACATTTCCTTTCTTATAATGTTGTTTGTCTTTGTTTTTCTTACACCAGTTGCAAGAAATATATCCTTAAGTTTTTCTAGTCTCTTCAACAAATTAGGTATTCTCCAGTCCCTTTCCTATATATTTAAATCTTTTATATGAAACAGCTTAAAAACACAGGGATCATATTATACACATAGTTATACAACTTGTTTTCTTTCTCTTCCCACTGAATATGTCTTTGAGAACCTTCCATCAGTACTTATAGGTTTTCCACATTCTTTAAATAGCTACATGATATTTCATAGAATGGATGTACCTTAATTTAAAACAATTTCTTTACTGAGGCAGAAATAGGTTATTTCCAAGTTTTCACTACTACTAAAAACGATGCAGTGAGCATATTTGTAGCTATATATTTTTAAAAAGTCTTTTTTAGTACATGGGATTACCTTCCAATTACATTTTCTAAATGGGCAGTTGCCAGCATGTAGTAATGCTGCAGGTGAAGACACAGAAGTAGGCAGCTCTGACCAAAGCCTTTCTGTAGCTGTATCTTTGTGCAAGTTTTTTTTTTTTTTTAGACTAGATACGGAGATTTGGAATTGTGGGATCCTAGACTATAAAGATTTTAGATTTTAATAGATTCTGTTAAATTGTCCTCCGTTGAGCAAACAATGAATCATGGAACACTACATCAAAAACTAATGATGTAATGTATGGTGATTAACATAACATAATAAAAAAATAAATAAATAAATTGTCCTCCATTGAGCAAGGTGTCTTACTACCTTCTGAGTTTCCACTGGGGAGAAGACCACACCAACAAAGCCACACATAAACATGTTTCACACATGGAGATTGTTCCTCTGTCATTTCTTATTCTATATTACTCTATTGGTATAGATTATCAAATTATTACATTATATGACCCATTATTCTAATGTAATTTAACATGTACATTAACCATATAATAACATCACCAAGATGCATTGTAGAAACCCATGACGTTTTTCTCCCCAGACATCTAGTGTGCACCAAGTAACAAAGGACCATGTATAAACAATTGAGCTTTTGATTTCTGATATGATAATGGATTAGGCAGAAAGCTTATGGAATATGAGAAAGGCCTACCCCCCAAAGAAAGAGGGAAAGTGGATTAAAGGTTAAACGGAAAATAAAAGTCATTCACATGGTGAGATGTCACTGGAGTAAAAAAGTGATCTTTTTACTTTGTAACCCTGTGCATTTTAGAAAAATGACAGGCATAAAGCTGATATTTTCTGCTTTTGAGTGACATTTAGTTAAAAAGAGTAAACCTTTCTTAGGAGCGTGCTGATTTTCTTTTAAGATTTTATTTATTCAGGGGTGCCTGGGTGGCTCAGTCGTTGGGCGTCTGCCTTCAGCTCGGGTCATGATCCCAGGGTTCTGGGATCGAGCCCTGCATCGGGCTCCCTGCTCCGCGGGAGGCCTGCTTCTCCCTCTCCCTCTGCTGTTCCCCCTGCTTGTGCGCTCTCTCTCTCTCCGTCAAATGAATGGATAAAATCTTAAAAAAAAAAAAAAAGATTTTATTTATTCATTTGACGGAGAGAGAGAGATAGCGAGAGCAGGAACACAAGCGGGGGAGTGGGAGAGAGAGAAGCAGGTTTCCCGCAGAGCAGGGAGCCTGATGCAGGGCTGGATCCCAGGACCCTGGGATCATGACCTGAGCCAAAGTCAGACGCTTAAGAATTGAGCCACCCACGCGCCCCAGGAGTGTGCTGATTTTCAATTACCATCTTCAGCCTAACAGTAGGTAAGCTAGCTCATTCCAACAAGAGCACTAATTTCTACAAAAGGTGCTCAGCGATATTTGAGGATACTCGACTGGACATTACCTGTGCCTCCAGCAACATCAAGCAGCTGGGTCCCAGGAAACGGGTGCATCTTCGAGAGCAGTAAATCCTTCCAAATACGATGGATACCAAGACTCATCATATCATTCATCACATCATACTTCTTGGCCACACTTTCAAACACATGATAGACTGACACAGGAGAAATAAAACACAATTGTGCTATTAACAAGATTAACTAGGGGAAGTCTTAAATGAGAGAGGAGGAAGCTTTTCTCCCCTGAAGTTGCCCGTCTTTGTCAGGTGAAGTTAAGCTATACTGCTTGATACCCAAATCTGCCCCTTAACCTCTTTTAAAAAAGGCTTTAGTTACTTCATGTAAGAAACCAACCTCTTTTCTGCTTAGTTACCTTTATCTAGGACCACTACCCCATGCACCTACTTGGTACTAAGTAGGTTTCCATTTCTTAGAGGATGGGGGGGGTAATGGAATTTTTCTAATGGTTATTATAATCGAAAACAACAGAATCATTAGAAATACATGACTAATGGATGGGAAAGCCTGAGCTCATCCCTGCCTGGATCACAGAGAAAAAGCTCAGGTACAATTAGGTGGGCAGATGAATGGCAAGATGTGAATCAGGGCCAAGCCACACTGCAGAGGGCCCTCATAAATGTCATAAATTTGACAGGATCAAGGGAGAATATGGAATCTGGTCTAGTGGGAGAAGGAATTTACTATTTAAGGCACTTTAAAACACAGGCTGCATTTAACTTCTTTATACCTGTTTCTCTGTCCATAAGATGAAAAACTCTGGGACGCCTGAGTGGCTCAGTCAGTTAAGCGTCTGCCTTCAGCTCAGGTCATGATCCCAGGTTCCTGGGATTGAGTCCCGCATCAGGCTCCCTGATCCGCGGGGAGCCTGCTTCTCCCTCTGTCTCTGCCTCTCTCTCTCTATCTCTCATGAATAAATAAATAAAATCTTTAAAAAAAAAAAAAGAAAAACTCAGAGCCAGCTCCCCATCACCCTGCTATAAGGCTGAATTAGGTAATGAAGGGGAGATGCTTTGTTTCTCAAATGAAATGTGCTGCATAGATCCACGACATCACTGTCCTCTGCTGAATCAGCAGACTATAGAGCCGCTCCTGAACTCAATCTTGAATGCCTTTCTCAACCCCAGGATCTCCAAGCTTGCTTTTTTTTGTTTTGTTTTTGGGGTATTCACGGACACTACAGCTCAACCCACCGAGTATAAGCAATCTTTGCTTTGCATGGTTCCAATATACATGAATTTCAGTGACTGTGGTTTAGTTAAACAACACCAGTCCCCCAGCAACATCATTCATGTGCAGTGGTGTATTAACTGTGAGTAACCGCATAAAGTACAAACTTCACTGGTAGTTCTTCAGCCCATAAGTCACTCTGTAAATAACAGACATGCATCATGATCAGTAACCAATTATGTCACTTCTTTCAGTTTGCACTTGGTAGGTCACTACATATCAGTCATTCAGTTCACACACAGCAAAGCATGTAGATGTGTTACTTCCTTATCTCTCAGTTTTAAACACATGTGGGATTTTACAAAACTAGGTAATTGAAAGAGGAAATTGGCCAACGAAAATGAAAGCACTGCAAAGAAATGAAAAGTGGTAATACTGGAAGTGAAATGGCCATGGGGTTATAGGTGAAACAGCTGACTGTGGGAATGTTGATGCTCGAGAGACTCCAGATATGCAGCCAGAAGATCTATGTGAAGATGAACTTATGGATATAAATGAGGATGTGGTTGTGATGAAAAGGTTGAAGATGTCCCAGAGGAAATGATGCCAGCAAAAAATCTCACCCTAGAGGAATTCTTGGAGATATTTCATGACATTGACAGTGAAAGGATAAAATGTTACAAGCTGATTAAAATTTAGAAAGCAGTACAGCAATTTACCAAGGCATAGAGAAGATGCTTGCTCCCTACTGTAAATTATATGACCAGAAGGTAGCAAACACTGTTCAAACTACTCTTGGTACATATTTTTTATGAAGGACTAAAACAACGTAATGTTTCTAATTTTTTATTAGAATTTTAATTAAAAAACAAACTTAAAATTTAAAAATTCTAATTACATTAAGTTAAAACTAAACCTAATTTTAAATTATAGTTTGCTAAATAAATATTAACTTTACTATTTATTTCATTTCTCTATACATTTATAACTAACAAAAAGAGAGTTTTTGATGTTCAATAATTTCTTAATTTTTTAAAGTAAACTCTATGCCCAATGTGGGGCCTAAACTCACGACCCTGAGATCAAGAGTCACTGACTGAGCCAGCCAGAAACCCCTGATGTTCAATAATTTTTAGAGGTCCTAGGACATTTGTAATTTTCCCCATTGATTATTAATATCACTGTGCATGATTTCAGCATGCATGGTCATTTTTACAGTCCTGCACTACTGTGCAAAGGGAAGACTGCCTATACTTCAGTGTTGGGTCTCCATCTGGGAGATATATATTTAGCTCAGTTGGATAACCTCTTCTTTGCTTGTGTGTGTGAAATACTGTTTTCGTTTTTTTTTTTTAAAGATTTTTATTTATTTATTTGACAGAGAGAGACATAGTGAGAGAGGGAACACAAGCAGGGGGAGTGGAAAAAGGGAGAAGCAGGCTTCCCGCCGAGCTGGGAGCCCGACGTGGGACTCGATCCCAGGACTCTGGGATCATGACCTGAGCCGAAGGCAGACGCTTAACGACTGAGCCACCCAGGTGCCCCTGAAATATTTATATTTTGTAAAGTACAATACAGAAGTTAGGCATTATTATCATTTTGGAAGCAACCCACCTAGATTAAAATCTCTGGCTCTGCCACTTACTAGCAAAATCTTGGGCAAGTGACTTACTATCTGTCTTTCAACAGTTTCTTCATCTATAATATCAGGCTATTAGTCTCTACCTTATAAGGTATTTACAAGAATTAATGTAAAGTATTCTAAAAGGTTTCAAGTCCTTAAGTTTACTATCCTTTTACTTGGCTTCTCTTATTTCACAAGCAGTTATCAAGCTTTTAATGTGCATCAGGCACTGAAATACAGACATGAATGAGCCACTGTCCTAACTTTCTGGGGATTCACTCCAGTGAAATAAATTTAAAATCAATATTCAAAGAGTTACAGTAGAGGTATGTATTTAGTAAGGCTGAGGTCAGACGTAAGACAATGTAGTAGTCTTTAAGAGGATGGGATATTCCATTGTGATTTCTTTCTCTTTATTTCCTGGGTGACCACAGGCCAAGTGAAGGAAACTCTCAGACCTCACCATATCCACCTGTTAAATGGACATAATACCTTCCCCATTATAAATGGTACAGCTGGAGTTTAAAACAGTCCTTTCCTTTCACATGCCTATAGCACAATGCTGGACACAAAAACTGCTCAACAATATCTAACCTTTACTGGGCAATTACGAAGTGCCAGGCACTGTTCAAAATATTTTAATGTATGAAGTAATCTAATCCTCATTATAACTCTAAGAGAAAAGTTACTATTATTCCTACTCACACAATTTGGAAGCTGAGGGACAGGGAAGATAGTTTTCTCTTTCCTTTCTATAAAAAAATGGCCCTACCCTTTGGCAAGACGTGAAGAACATGAGCTCTGTAGTCACACCAAAGTGGGTTGGAAGATTGGTTCGGCCACATATAAATTGGGCAAGTTCTTGTTTAATCTCGAAGTCTCAATTTCCTCATGTGTAATTTGGGGATAACAATACCATTGTTCGGAGGTTGAAATGAAAATTGAGAATAAGGGGTGCTGGGTGGCTCGGTTGTGTGAGCGTCTGCCTTCGGCTCAGGTCATATGATCCCAGAGTTCTGGGATCGAGCCCCACATGGGGCTCCCTGCTCAGCGGGAAGCCTGCTTCTCCCTCTCACACTCCCCCTGCTTGTGCTCCCTCTCTCGCTGTGTCTCTCTCTCTGTCAAATAAATAAAATCTTTTAAAAAAGAAAAAAGAAAATTGGGAATAAAATCTGCATGGTGCCTGGCACATCATAAACACCCAGTTTTTGGGATTTAGTGATAATTACTGTGTTTAACAAGAGGAGGCATCTAAGCTCTGCGGTGTCAGGCTGGTAGGGTGGGGGCGGGGGGACTCCTTGGAGGTCAGGACTGCACAGGATACGGCATCCGAGTCAACAGGACGTTAAATCAACTCCTAGCTGAGCAGAAGAAACTAGATCGCAGATAGATCCCTCCGTCCGCCCTCTCGCCCCTTTCACCTTTGCCCCCCTTCTCCTCCTCCGACACAGTCTCAAACCCGAAATGTGTTTCCGTTTCCCGCTTCTCTTGGGACAAGTGCCGCGCACCCAACGGGCCCCTGGGCCAGGAGCTACGAAACCCGGGGAGCCGGCAGCACCGCATCACCCACGACCACCTAGGACCGCAGTAGCTCCATAGAGCGCAGCTCCTGTGGGTCGCCATCTTGGCAGTAGGGTGACGGCGGCCGGATATTACGTATGTTGCATCACTAGAGGGCCAACGGTGGCCGGTAGGAGACATTATTAGCCTAAGGCGTCCTGAAACCCTTTATTAGGGAGTTATGCGTGTGACCTCTGGGATCCGGAGGCTATTTAGTTTTTGAGTACCGGAAATCGCTTCTTCTCTCTCTTCCCACTTTGAATATAGAATTCACCAGAAATGAAGGGACCTTAGGATAAGCCCCAATCACCTCTCAGCGGCCATGTCTCTGAATCTTGTTAAGCAGCAGTATGAATGCTAACTCACAAGATAACCAGTAACTCTTGTTTTCCGGTGCAGAAGTAGGAAACTAAGGTACCCTGTGGTTACAAGGCAAGAGATTACAAGGTCAATTCTCTTAAACTTTGATGTGCCTAAGAATCACCTGGTTTGATCTTTTTTTTTTAAGATATTTATTTATTTATTTGACAGAGAGAGACACACCGAGAGAGGGAACACAAGCTGGGGGAATGGGAGAGGGAGAAGCAGGCTTCCTGCTGAGCAGGGAGCCCGACGTGGGGCTCGATCCCAGCACCCTGGGATCATGACCTGAGCTGAAGGCAGACACTCAACGACTGAACCACCCAGGCGCCCCTGGTTTGATCTTTAAAATGCAGATTCCGGTGGGCGCCTGGGTGGCTCAGTGGGTTAAGCCTCTGACTTTTGATTTCCCTCAGGTCATGATCTCAGGCTCTTGAGATCAAGCCCCTGTAGGGCTCCATGCTGGATGTGGAGCCTGCTTGGGATTCTCTCTCTCTTCCTTTGCCCCTTCCTTTCTATCTTCTCCTCTCCAAAAGAAAAAAAAAGAAGAAGCAGCAGCAGCAGATTCCTGGGCCCAAATATCAGAGATTTTAAATCTGTACAGTAGGGATGGGCATTGGGAATCCTTATTGAACAATCTTCCGTGGTGGTTCTTTTTTTTTTTTTTAAGATTTATTTATTGGGGGTGGTGGAGCATAGGGAGAGGGAGAGAGAGAATCCAAAGCAGCCTCCACACCCAGCGCAGAGTCCCATGCAGGGCTGGATTTCAGGACCCTGAGATCATGACCTGAGCCAAAATTAAGAGTCCGATGCTCAACCCACTGAACCATCCAGGAAATCTGCAAACTCCTGTGGTGATTCTGATGCAAGGAATTGGCAGACCATTCTTGAGAAACGTGTGCTAGACTACTCTGAAAAATAAATGTATAGGGGTGCCCGGGTGGCTCAATCGTTAAGCGTCTGTCTTAGCCTCAGGTCATGATCCCCGGGGTCCTGGGATCAAGCCCCACATCAGGCTCCCCACTCAGCAAGGAGCCTGCTTCTCCCTCTCCCTCAGCCTGCTGCTCCCCCTACTTGTGCTCTCTCTCTCTCTGTCAAATACATACATAAAATCTTAAAAAAAAAACCAAAAAACGTACAAAAGGCTGTTCTTTGGTCTTTACATTTTATGTACCTAAGAAATTTATAATTTATAAATGGGAAGGAAAGCTCTGGTGTCTAGTTAGTGAGTCAGACCCAATCACCACTCACCCTCCTTCTTCTGCTGTCACAAAGCTACACTTCTAGCGCCAACTGGCATAGCGTGGATGTTTACTTCCAACCCAGATTTTCCGGTTCTTTTTTTATGGAAAGGGTAATGTAGACCATCTTGAGCAAAAGAGGATGGAGGTGGTGAGTTTTGCTTGGATTTCTATGTTTCTGCTTTGATTCTCTTTTTAAATGTATGTTTCCTGTAAATATTTCACAAGGAGAAAGCGCCAAGGACCCTAAGAAACTATTTTGAAAATGAAAAATCTCTTCCTGGTTTAATGTGTAGCCTGACAGATGGACACCTACTGCTTTCTTTTGGAAGAGCTGCACGGGTTTTTCTTCTTTCCCTCTCTTTTATTTTTAAAAGTGATAGAAAGAAGGAATGATTCATCCATGTAATTAGAGTTCTCACATCATTGTTAAAGGAAATAAAAATTCATCAAGGAAACTTAGTATATCTTCCATATCTAGTCATACATGAGAATGGACCTCAGGCTTTGGGGCTGTTCCTTGTAGACATCAAAGTAAATTTCCAAACAAACCAACATTATGTATTTGTTCTCATTTCAATATGACTTGCGGGGAAAAAACTGCAAAAGGTGAAGCAGGACAAGGACTGATGAAGGCCATTTTAAGGAAATTTAAAAATATGAGATTAGTATCTAGTTTTCTTTCTTTTTTTTTTTTT